ATATTTCAGTTTTTCTTTTTTAATAAATCTGCAAAAATGTCAACAATTCTGTGTTTTTCTGTCGGTGCTGTGTGCTGTGTGTACATTAATGAGGAAAAAAAATTAACTTAAATGATTTTAGCAAATGGCTGACAAAGAGTGTGCGTTATTCAGAGAAACCAGCTGAACAAAACGCAGCTTTTCTTTAACGTTCACTGTATGTGATGAAATGTATTTAAGATTAAATTAAATTCCATTATTTAATCATTTTATTACATAATTTTATATGTGACCCTGGAGCACAAAACCAGTCATAAGTAGCACAGGTACATTTGTAGCAATAGCCAACAATACATTGTATGGGTCAAAATGATCCATTTTTCTTTTATGCCAAAAATCATTGGGATATTAGGTAAAGATCATGCTCCATGTGTCACATGTATGATCTGTTTTGGTTTAGTTTTCTGTGTTTCTGTTCTCCTGCCTAGATTGTTGCCATGGTTTTTGATTAATTATCTCCACACCTGTTTCTGTTTCTCCCTGATTACGTTCCCAGTATTTAAAGCCTGTGTTCTCCTATGTTCCTTTGTCTGCTATTGATTTGATTTGTTTGGTTGTGCTTGTTTTCTCCTGTGGATTATTAAAGGGTTAGTTCACCCAAAAATGAAAATTATGTCATTAATTACTCACCCTCGTGTTGTTCGAAACCCGTAGGACCTTCGTTCATCTTAGGAACACAATTTAAGATATTTCTGATGAAATATGAGGGCTCTCTGACCCACGTTCACGACACGTTATATAAGTATTTAAGGATAAAAGACTCGAGTTGCTTTTAAAATATTCACGAGTCCTTTTCCTCGAGTCGAGTCAAGTCTGGAGTCATTTCAGTTCGAGTCCGAAGTCAAGTCTGAAGTCTGTAAAAATGCGACTCCGAGTCACTAACTCGAGTGCCCATCTCTGGTCCAGGGTCACATATATGGATTAAATACAATTAATTAGTAAACTTACATTAATATAATTATAGTTGTGTTTAGATGAAATATAACTAATCACGATTGTAAGGCCGTACAGAGTAAGTGCTTTTTGCCAAAATGTGTGGTTTCAGTTGTTCCTATATATATATATATATATATATATATATGTAGGTATTTACAGGGTATTAAACCCTTCCGTACTTGTGTAACAGAGCCTCCTTGTTAGTGCGTCCGCCTCCCATGTCGGAGACCCGGGTTCGAGACCCACTCGGAACGAGAACGAGGTGTGGCGGAGAGGACCTGGGAGAGAGGTGTTACATACATACATATATATACATATATACATATATATATATATACGGTGGGTACGGAAAGTGTTCAGACCCCCTTAAATTTTTCACTCTTTGTTATATTGCAGCCATTTGCTAAAATCATTTAAGTTAATTTTTTTTCCTCATTAATGTACACACAGCACCCCATATTGACAGAAAAACACAGAATCGTTATATATATATATATATATACAGTATATTATATATATATATGTTTTTTTTTTGTTTTTTTTTGTAGAATCAATTTTAGTACGAAATATTTGGTGAATCGTGATTTGTACTTGAAATCATTCGTACGCACATTTCACACACACACATTTGTGCGTACTCATGCTTAGTGAATGAGACCCATTGTGTCTGGCTTCTGGTGTCGTTCACTTCTAGTTATTTGTTGAAGTAGTGCAAAGTTTTGGAAATGTAAGCTATTCTTGCAGCTCGCAATTCTAAATTAAAGGATTTGGACGATGACCGGTGCTCATTCAGTTCCATTTCACATCTGAAAGAGACGTATGCATATTTTGTGTGCGTATGTTCATTCTATGAATCACACATATGTACATTTGAGAAATGATTGTAAGATCAAATTTAGGACTGTTTCTGCGCAACATTTTATAAATGAGGCCCCATGACTTTAAAAGCAGTATCCAGCTTTATTTAGCACATTAAAAGCAAAATCTAAATGGCATATATGCTATAAAGTGAAACATGTGAAAAACAAAAGCGGTAACACTTTCTATGAAGCCCGTATTTATAATACATTATAAGGGTATTCTTAAGGCATTATAATGAATGCATAATGCATTATAAAAAACCTTATAATATGTTGTATCATCTCATGAATATTCATAAGAACAGTTTTAATATATTATAATATTTACTTATTTGTGGTTATAGCTTTTAAGAGAAATCACAACAATAAAACAAGGAATTTAAAACTTTGAAAATGATTTAAAAATTGATTTAAGAGGTTTAAAATACATTTAAAACAGTTAAGAATAGAAAATAATTATACATAAAATATAGTGCAATCAGTTCGGACATTGCACAGTGCTCATTCAGTAAATGCATAAACCATTACAATAGTCCACCCTGCTGGTGATAGAGGCATGAACACAAGTTTCTCCTAAGTCTTGACTGGAAACAAAACATCTAATTCTTGCAATGTTTTTGAGATGATAGTATGCTGATTTAGTTTCTGCTTTGACATGACTACTGAAACTAAGGTCTGTCTCCAGAATCACACCAAGATTCCTGACTTGATTTTTAGTTGTTTGACCCCTAGAGTCAAGGTATGCATTCACCTTGAGAACTTCATCTTTGTTTCCAAATGCAATGACTTCCGTTTTCTCCTTGTTTAACTGAAGAAAGTTCTCGCACATCCAACTGTTAATTTCATCAATGCATTGGCAGAGGGAGTCAATGGGGCTGTAGTCATTTGGAGATAAGGTTTGGTCCCCTTTTTTTGTAGAATTATTCCGGTCCAAAGGAGTTTTTTAGTTTAAGTGTTTGTGCCAAAGATGTGTTGTCTGAGCACTGCGCTGATCTGCTGGAGTAAAAATCGTAGAAAAATCTGAGAAAAGTACAGAAATAGGGAGCAAAGCGCAGAGCAGTAAGCAAGAACGTCCGAACGGTAGCGAAGCCGGAAAAAAAAGTTTAATGACATTTGTAAGCATTTTAACTAATGATTTGTTTGAACATTATCTAATGTTTAATAAGTGTATTAGCAAACGTTAACAAGCACATTATCTTACGTTTCTAACTCTTTGAATATATATTAACTAATGATCCATTAAGCATTATATAATGTTTGTTAATGATTTATTAATGAAAGTTATTATAAAGTGTTACCAGACTAAGTAAAAGTTTCCAAAAAAAAACCAATTTAGCCACCATATTGAGAGATTTGAAGTTCAGTTGTGTGTGTGAGATTTTAGGAAGAAATTTCATGAGGTTTAAACTAGGATTCTTTCTTTTCATAATAAGCAATATCTTAAGTTTATTAACTTCAATTATAAATATAATCATAAGTTTAAATTATGCTATAATGAATAGTGTTGTAATTTATAGTTACATCATCTGTAACTGAAAAAATCTCTTTGCTATATTAAACAATTCCAGACTCATTTTAAGAAATGCATGCAGATATCTAAATAATTACTTGAATTTATATTTAATGTATTTAACTGAAAAGCACTTGGTTATCCTTGGAGTTCAGTGATCCTGATATGTTGATATTCATGGTTGCGCGGGTGGCAGTGGGACTTCAGTTGGAGGGTTTGGCTCATCGTCAATTGTTAAATCACGGCAGAACAGCACCGGTTCTTCACCAAGACACAGTTTGTACTGCCACAGATATACACGCTCGTTTGGCTTCAGCTCAAATTTGAGTAGTTCTCCCACTTCAGTCGTTTCATTCCAGCTTTCGTTTTCAGTGTTGACATGTGAACCTCCATATTCTGCAGAAAACGAGAGCTGCAACTTTGCAATTAACTTGGCAAGCTCTCCAGATTCAATCGAGACTGATGCGGCTATCTTCCAATTGTGTGTGATCTGGGTCATCTTCTCCTTATTGTATCCAACCTTTTTTGTGATTTTCTTTTCCCATGTCAACTGTGTATTGCTGTCATTTTTTATAGTTTTAATATTCTCCCAAATGCCAAATGTTGGGCCTTTAGTTACTGACAGCCCACCAGGAAGGAAGTTAAGAACATCGGGATGAACAGAATAGACATCAGCGCAATTGTCTTGGAAGCTGAAAGCACAGCAGAACTCAACTCCCCAATCTGAGACCGGCTTGAGGAAGTTGAAGTGGTCTTGTACGGCCCAGTAATACAGATTATTTTTCCAGTTGGGAGGCAGGGTGTGTTCTTGAGCATTCGTGTCTTGATTCATGTTTGTTGTCATTCGGAAAGTGCCCTTTTCTTGGAAGATGATGTAAAAATGGCCACTGTCTGAAAAGTAGTGGTCTCCACCCTGGCAGTTGGGATGAAGGCTGTAAACTACAGCACCGCTGTCTGTCATCAGGTCAGTGACTCTGCGGTAGAATTTGCCCTTGATGATGTAAAAGTTGCTACCCCAATCACCAAGGTAATGGTCTCCATTTTGGCAAGTAGGGTGCAGACTGAAAATAGAGATATCTGAACCTTTATTGATATCACTTGTCTGCATGTAGCACCCGAGATCAGAGCGGATTATATATTTGTAATAGTCTGTTGCGCAGATGTCGGTGCCTTTTGCTTTGCTCTTGGGAATAATGCCTTTCATCGTGCCTGAACCTGCAACACAGAATAAGACCAACATTAAATCAACTGTACATACCTGATAGAATGCTGTTATTTTAATCCTTCAGATTGAGCTCTCTGATTACCAAAACAACTTTATATATGAGAGAGGAAAAATTCAAGCTGTCTGATGATATTGTTGTTGTCTACATATATGGTCATTACAAAGAATGAACACTAGGAGGAGATATAGGACTTGACAGGAGAGTGATCATAGGATAGAAAAAGTGTGTACACATGGAAGTGAATTCAGTCTGGTTTAAAGAGTGGTTAATCCAAGGAATTCATGTGCCATCATATCTTTTTTGTTTTGAAAAGTCAAGTTAGAGTACAACAAAATAGCGACGAGGTGGTTTGAATCTATATTACACAACAATGGCTACGTGGAATGCTCCATTCCCAGATTTATTTCTGCCATGCCCAGCATTCCATTCACAATGTGGATCGTCGTGGGAGCTGCAGGTGATGCTGGGTCAGAGGGGAGGAAAAGAGCCTTACTGCTTCATTGTTTAGGAACTGAAGGGCAAAGGGTTTTTTATACTTTACCAGAGACTGGAGATACAATAGTCTCTGCTATCACTGCACTGAGCACACATTGCACACCTACCATAAATGTCATAGTAGAACGTAAAAATCGAGAACAGCAAAAAATATATATAATAATAAATAAATAAAAAATACGTCCAATCTAAAGATTACTCCAAAACCTGATGCACCTGCTGTGTATGCGCACTCATATTTTCGCGGTGGTTCTAGTGGACACTTGACTAATGCAAGAGAGTGCCCACCAACAAGAGCAGTGTGTAAACTGTAAAAAGAAAGGACACTTTGCACCCGTGTGTCGTTCGACTCCAACACACACTGTTAGAGATGTTGATTTACCTGAGTATACCTTACTGTTAATCCAAGAATCCAGCACGCTAAATAAAATTCAGTATGCTGTGGGCATCCAAACAGCAAATTCTTTGCAACTGTGGAACAGACTGTGAATACTGTGAACTTACTGTGTAAGTTCTGTATAAGGAGAATTTTGAGAGTACACACCTGCAGCCACCAACCAACAACTGGTTACTTATGCTCGCCTATGGAAGGGGCCGGGATGCATTTTGTTCGGTGGTCAGCTCACCTTCTGTGCTTCACTTATAACATGGTGTATCATGCTGGCTCATCAAATCATGCTGCCAACTGCCTGGCATGGTTACCCTTTCCTCTTACCTCTGCTTCCAACCCAGATGATGAACAAGAGCTCTTTGCTCTATTGTCTACCTCCTTGACTGCGATCTCACCAAGCGAGTTTGAAATGGCTGCAGCCTTGTGTCCTGAACTGACCTCTGTGTGCAATCAAATCGCTAAAATTGTAAAAATGTTGTAGCACACGCACTGTCGAGTCCAGTGCCAGTGGATTAGAGTCCTGATCTTCCGCGAGCCCCGACGCAACAGAGTGCGGCACGTGACAAGATGGGCGAGTGCTGGTGCGGACGGTTAGTGCTCACGAATCCTCTCATTATAACTCACGCATTGTAGACATTATGAAAGATTCATTATGCATAAATTCATTGTGTTATAATAGAGATTTGTGAGATTGCAATGAACTGAGATGCAGTGGCGGCTCGTCGGGGGAGGCAGGGGAGGCACAGCTTCCCCATAATTTTGAGGTGAAAATGGGAGTTTAATGTTAATTAAATTCACAATTCATTTCGGTTCATGTCTCAGAATGTGTATTTTTTGTTTGTAATTTCACAGTTGTAATACCATAACGTGAAAGCGCCGCTTTTCTATCGCGAATGTGCCGAATCTGCTAATGTAATTCAACCGCTAATGATAGAGAAGGGTAGGTGGAGGCCGGGGGAGAGCTGAGCTCTCGTGCCTCCGTTGGTAAAAAAAATTAGCCAATCAGCATCGAGTGTTCACTTTCAGCGCTGAGGAGTTTTGAGAAAAGAACCCTCGTAGGGGAGGCTAGCCTCCCTTCTCACATCAACCAATCATCAAAGAGACGTAAATTACATTATATTAGTTTGAACATCTCCCGCTGCACTGATAATGTACCAAGTACTTATGATGAGTAGCGATATTGAATATTTGATCGCCAACAGATTTACCAAGCTGTCATTCAAACAGTATATACACAAATTTAGGGAAAACAGCCTAAGCTGGATATAGGCTACAGCAATCGGCTTAATTAAATGGCGCAACAGCCAGCTCTCTTTTAACACAGACTTTTAAGAAGGGATGGTTGTTTGCTTCAAGTGATAGGCCAGGTAAATTAAATTATATTATCTTGCTGTTGTAATGTGGGGTTCGGAAGCGGCCTCCGTGGCCGTGACAAGACAGTCTGTGAGTTCGTCAACGGCCTCTGTGGCCGTAACAGGACAGGCAGTGAGTTCAGAAGCGGACGCCACCACCTCATGAGGTGGTGGACAGGAGCAATCGTGTGCTACAACATTTTTACAATCTACTGTGTCATGTTCTGATTGGTTGTCCTAGTCATGTGTCTTGATTCCCATTGATTTGTTCTTGTCATGTGACCCTCTTGTTTGCTATAAGTAGCCATCAGGGATCCCAGACCAATACAATTAGTGTGCCTCCTCTATTTTAAAACCCACGAGCCGCCACTGCTGAGATGTCTTTTAGAGATTATAAATGCAGCGCTCTTTGCTGGCATTCTGCCATGCTAAACCATGCACGCAGCAGCCGCTTGCTTTAGTTAAAAATAACAGGGTTTTTTTTGTGAATTTAATAACAAATATTTATCGGGAGCATTTATGCTGGGATTTCATGTAAATTTCATGGATGTAGCCACAGAAAAAAGTAACATAACTTGTAATTAAACTAATTACTTTTTAAAATAAAGCAATCAGAACAGTAACATGATTACATTTAAGTAATAGGAGTAATCAGTAATCAGTAATTTAATTACAGTTTCAGAGTAACTTGCCCAACACTGATAATGTATAATTAATTCTAAAGTGAAGATTATGGTAACCCACTGGTAATGACTCAAGTATTACCAAATCCTTCAGAAAGAATTATTATCCAAAACCTTACAGAAACCTCAAAAGCTTACAGTGACTTCAGTCATTAAAAGGGAGTTGTCATACGTTTCTCTTTAGAATACTGATCCAAATAATTATTAATTCCTTCATAAGGATTTAGTGATGCTTGAGTCATTACTATTGGGTTACCATGATCTTCACTTTAGAATTAATTATACTTTATGCATTATTCATGCATTATTACTAGAGTGTTTATAGTGTGTTACTTATTAATGGCAGAACAGTATTCTAAAGTGTTACCAAATACTCCATTTCGAATGTCTACTAAATACTAGTTAGCACATTTAAAATGTCTGTATCACAAAATATTTTTGACTACAGAATACAGGTGTTCAAATGAAGTATGAGCTCACAGGTGCTACGTGTTAGAAACACACTTACTTGGTCGACTGTAGACTGTAGAGTCAGATGAGCAGTTTCTCCTCGATCGAGTCTGAGAGATGAGGAGTTTCTGACAGATTTCTGTCTTAAATAAGGCTCCTCAGAGGGCTGGAGAAACACACCCACCATCCTCGATTAGATCAGTAACTGCAATCAGCTACTGTTTTTTTCTGAGCAGAGCCTGGGGAGAAAAAATATGAGTGCATACATATACTATTATATTAAATGTTGAAAAACTGCAAAAACTGTGTATGTTGCTCACAATATTCATTATGTGTAAGATAATTTTATACATTTTTGTCAGCTGTTCTGTTTGAAACACACTTTACAGTGTCTTAAATGGCATTTCGAGCATGACACTGTAAAATATGTCATATAGGTAGAACGTTAAGCAGCCAAGAATTCAGTATTCAACTGCATTATACAGGACTGACAGCTTATTTGTTAAATAAGCAAATAAGTAAAATGTATTTCAGACAGAGAAAAGTCCAGTGGAGGGGAAAGTGGAATAGATCAAAATAAATACAGGAATTTGAAAGAAAGAAAAAGAAAGTTTATTCTTTTTTTATAATCTTTATACCGTAATTAAACCACGACATGCTGGTTTTGTCTGGCCAGAGGAGAACTGGCCCCCCGACTGAGCCTGGTTTCTCCCAAGGTTTTTTTCTCAATTCTGTCACCGATGGAGTTTTGGTTCCTTGCCGCTGTCACCTCTGGCTTGCTTAGTTGGGGACACTTGCCTGATTGCACAGACACTATTAGAAGAGAGCTGAACTGGATGATGACATCACTAAATCATCAATGAACTGACTTTAACTGGGAAAATCACTCTTTGTTATTGTCCTATTGCATTATTGATCAACTATTTTCCTGTTTGACACTGTAAAGCTGCTTTGACAGTGTGAAACCATCAGGAACCCTTTAGTCTCCAGCGCCACCATTTTCCAGAACTGCAACGTACCTGGAGTCTCCAGAACAATGTGTCAGGCTCCCAGAGAATCCTAAAATATGAGCCCCACTTAATAAGAATCATATACTGAAGTGTTGTGATATGTAGTCATGTAAAAAAAAAGTTAGGACACCCTATTGAATTCCATGGTTTTCTGTATCAGGACATAATAAAAAAATTTATCTGGTCCTTGGCAGGTCTTAAAATTTGGAAAATAAAACCTCAGATGAACAAAAACACGACATATTGCACTGTGTCATTATTTATTTAACAAAAATAAAGCCAAAATGAAAAAGCCATATGTGACAAAGTTAGGACACCCTTACTGTTAACAGGAATTAAGAGGGTAAGTAACAGTCAGGCAATGCTAATCAAATGCCTTTGATTAACTGATCATCAGCAAGTCTGAGCACCTTTATAAAAGCAGAAGTTTTGGCAGTTTGCTGGTCTGGAGCCTTCAGGTGTGTGTTACCACAATGCCAAGGAGGTAAGACATCATCAATGATCTTAGAGAAGCAATCATTGTTGCCATCAATCTGGGAAGAGTACTATGGCCATATCCAAACAATGTGAAGTCCATCATTCTACAGTGAGGAAGTT